TCATTTTGATATTTATCCAAATAAATGATGGGTAAGATCAATCAAGATAAAAAAAAAAAAAAAAACAATAGCTATTATATATAAAACTAAATAAACAAAATTATATAATTTGAATAATATTATATACTCAGTACTAGAAAATAATAAGAATAATAAATTAAACTAAAAATAATATAGAATATATTAAAAAGATACTAAAGCAAAAGCAATACAAGTCTAAAAAAAAGCAAAGTATTAATTTTTAGAATTAAGTATCTAAATAAGTTCTTACTAATATAGAATATTGTTACTAAAGATATCTAAAGTTTTATTAAAATAATATATATATTGCTTGCTATACAACCAAAGAAAGTTTTAATTATTTAGCAAAGTGTAAAGTTTATTAAAAAATTTGAATATATCTTAAAGAAGCTATTATAAAAGAGTTATATCTAAAAATAATAGAAAAATTTGATATCTCTATACTAAATACAAGATTAAAAAAAGTAATCCTAGAAAAGAATTTAAAAAACAAAATTAAAAGATGAAAACTTTATATCTAAGGTCTTATAATTAGAAGTTAAATTAAAGAATTTAAAGATTTCTTAGATTCTAAATCTAAAGTGAATCAAATAATCAGTTGATTTACAGATATCTTTTGATCAAATTTCTATAAAATATTATAAAAATTTTAGAAAAAAATTATATCTAAAAAAAAAAAAGAAAAAGATATTAATTTATAAATAAAAAAAAAAAAAAAAAAAAAAATACTAATATTTTTAACAAAAAAATAATACAGATATTAGCTCTTTATTTAAAAAAACTGTATCTGAGAAGAATACAAGAATTCTGAGTAAGTCAAGTAATAAAATTTAAAATTAAATTAAAAAAAAAGCAGAAAAAATAGTTAATATTCAAAAACAAATAAAATATTCTTGATATAGACTAGTAGTAAACTTTTGTAGATTGTAATTAGATAATATATTAAATTATATATCAGATTATAGAAAAAAAATGTTGCTATAACAGATTGTATTTAGATATTTAACAAATAGCTAAATGAATTCAAAATTTTAATAAAAAGAATAGTCTTAAGATTAAAGTAATTTTAGTTTTATGTATTTGCTTTAATACTTATATTAGTTATACTCTTAATAAAATAAAGAGCAAAATCACCTAAGTTTTTTTAAAAAAAAGAATTAATTATACTATATTTTTAGATCTTTTTTTGTATTTTTTTTATATTTTTTTTGTATTCTGTAAGTTAACAAATTAGTTATAGCTTCAATTACTAAAATTCATCTAATACTAAATTAGCTTTTGACTAGTTAACAAAATCAAACAATTTTGAAATTAATTTCTATATCATTATCTTATATATTTTATAAAGATATTAAACTCGTAAATTGGTAAATTGAGTTAGTTTATTAAAAGTTACTACTTTGAGTTTGACTTATATATATCGTATATAAATTATACATATTTTATAAACTCCTTGTATATGTCTTGCATATTTTATATACCTCCTGCATAATAATGCAGGTTTATGTATATTTATGTATAAACCCGCATATTATATGCAAGAGGTGCATCAAATATACAAGACATATGCAAGGAGTTTATAAAATATGTAAAATTTATACAATAATAAAGACTCTTGCTAAGTTAACAACTTCATTAAGCTTTTAAACATCTCTAATATTTTATATAAAATTTCAAGACCAATGCAAAAAACATCGAAGAAACTTATCCCAGAAGCCGAGAATAACACTCTGGAATCTTTATATTTACCATATATTCAAAAAGAGCAACCTAATTATGAGACTCTTTGTACTATACTTCGACGGTTTGAACACTATTTTTTTGATAGACAAACAAATCCTATCTGGGAAATTAATAATTTACAGGAATGCATCGAAGAAACTTCGTTTGCTAGCAGGAGTGCAGTCGATTGGTTGACTAAACTTATCGCTTCACCTCTAGACTGGATACAAGTTGATTTACAAAGAGAAGAAGTAATAGAACGAGCTGCAAAATGTATTGCGGCATCTTGCGGTATAGCTGGTAAGTCAAAAAATAAAATAAAATAAAATAAAAAAAATCAATTATAAAGAATAATTAAAATAATTGTATTGTAAAATAAATAGCATCTGGTCCGATTACAAGATACTGGAGTTTTCCGGCAACACCAGGAGACAATAAATCCATAACATTAAAGATTCGTGATTCAACTTTACTTGATGACGATGTTGGCTTTAAAACATGGGGCGCCGCCTATTTACTAGCAAAGTAGAACGCATACATATAATTTTTCACAAGCATTCAATTTATTTTTTATTTTATTTTTTTTTAACAAAAGTCTTCTAATATATGCATTAATCGTTATAATTTAACAGGATGTGTATTTCTGGTCAAGCAATGCCTTTGAACAAAATTCAATCGAAATTCATTCTCGAGATTGGAGCAGGAACAGGATTGGTCGGATTAACATGCGCAATGATTGGATGCTCAAATGTATTACTCACGGACTACCATTTAAATGTTCTCTCTAATGTTGTATATAATGTTAATTTAAATCAATTACAAAATTCTGTTAAAGTGGAAAAACTTGATTGGGAAGAAATAGCTAATTGTGTAGAACAAAAATTACAACAAAAATTTGATATTATCGTAGGAGCAGATATAGTTTATGAAGTTGTACATACCAATTGGATACCAAAAGTAATCAAACAGTTTATGACAAAAGACGGAATTTTTTATTTAATGATTCCACTTCGTCCAACTCATACTTTGGAAGTAGAATTGTTTGAACGGTGTATGGAAGAACAAGGATTCATTTTACAATACCAACAGGATCAACCAGGTTTGGATGACTTTAATGGTGTACATAACTATCGATATTATGAGTATAGAAATTAACGTGTGCCAATTCATACCATATCACGCAAAAAGTCATGTCTGTAATAGAGTTGAAGTAATTGTAATATGATTTTTGATTTTTGTTTTGTACCAGAGAATATGTCACATAGTGGTTAGATTATCTTAAATGCTTAACTTTAAGTTAACCTATTTAAATATACTGTTTTCGAATTATACGATACTTGAATTTGTGAATATTGATCCCGCACTAATTTGAATACAGTATTAGTAAAATGGTATAAGTTACTTTTTTTATAGCAATGTTAGGATTGTTCGCTTATCCATTACAACTTATTACACTATTACATTTGCTTATTCACCATTATATCCTTTTATTTCGCTTACTTATCCATTACAACAATTACTTACCTGCTTTCTGGATTTTTGCAAAAGACATTGACGAAATGTTTGTTCTTATTAACATTAAATATATATGAAAAATACTTTTATACACGTGCAATAAATAAATAATTTAATTTATAATTCGTGTATGGATAGAGTTTTGTTGGTTTACACGATTCTGCTGTTCTGATGATATTCTCCCGTGAGAAATGACATGTAATGTCTTGTAATTTCGAGTGACAGATCTATACTGAATTATAATCTAAACTTCTTTGATTTATTGTATGCTAACTTTATGATAAATTATTATTATAAAAAACTTTTAATCTCTTTCAAAGTTGCTATTGTAGTAGTAATATATAGTTATTGGATACGAAGCAGCTAATTACATACTTTTTTAATTAAACTGTATGTTTTTAAACTATGAACATACGAAATAAATCTGCACAAAGTTTATTTAGTTTATCTCTATTACAGAATAATGATTTATGACAGATTTTAATATAACCAAAAGTTATGACCTATGTCCATGACATGTTTGAAACAATCGTTTATAATCTTTGAACCCCAGGTTCCACCATGGTCCTCCACCAGTCAGTCGACCTAGTCCTATGTCAATATAAAAAAAGTTCAACTTCACTACAATCAAAGTTGCGAAGTATATAGACTTTAAACTATTTCTAATTTTCTTATTTGTGCAAAAAAAAAAAAAAAGAGAAATACAAAAAATGCAAGAAACAGTCTAAATCTACTTTAGAACATTAGTAAAAAATGTCAAAAAGGCAATTTTAAGCATATAACTTCTTTAACTCTAGCCTAAACGTTGAATTATGTGTCTGCTCTAATTTAAAGAAAAATTAA